TCATAGGGGAACAAATGTGTTCCTGTATTGTGGACAGTACTGAGCTGCTCATCAACTGAGAATTGTTAGGACTAAGTAAAGAGTTTGCAGAACAAGTATTGTCTTCTATATCCATGGCATCCTCCTCATTTATGCCTCCAGCACACTGAGAACTTTTATACCTAGAAAACATGTAAGCAAGTGAAAAGTTGCTCTTCTTTGTTTCTTTCAAGGAACCTGTGGGCTGACAACTACTGGTATCTTCAAGATATTCCCTGGAAGAATCAGTATCAGTTATTGATGACTCCTCTCTGGGTGAACCTCCTGAAGTAATGCGACATATATTTCCATCTATTGAACTCTCTGCAGGAAAGCTTGTATCTCGCCGGGAGCCTTCCCGTAGCTTCAGAAGGGTTGTCTCTGCATTAGAAGGGGAATAATTTATCAACTACTAAATACTAACTATTTTCAGTTTGAGAAGTATATCTGATCTTTATCTATGGCACACTCCATTATTTCCAATACCTATGTGATTTCTTGAATCTGAGGAAGTGCTATAGAACTGATACAAATAGCAAATTGGAGGATTAGGCAGATTATCTGAGAACCTAAGATATGCTAAAACTGAACTTTGTTTCTTGCATGTTTACCTTTAATGTTATCTCATCATCAATCAAACATGAAGCTTGACAAGATGTACTACTTTTGACTGCATGACACAAAGGATCATCGTAGAACTAAAAGATGGAAGAGAAAAACATGACAATGAAACAAGCTGGCAGAGAAGGCAAAGGCCATAGGAGTAAAAGCTTCTTCCAATGAAGTTATTCGTTCCTAACTTTACACAAATTGAAATTCATATTGTTGACTATAATGATAAAGATCAGAAGTCAGATGTATTGTTTAAGGTTGACAAAAAGAGTGGTGGCAAAAGTTAGTTATTTGTTTTTTCGGAAAATAGAAGAGGAAGAATGCTTCATTGAGAAGGAAAAACCAAAAGCATTACAACTATTAGGGACGTATAAGATATACTTCAAAGTTCAAACTTAAAGTCTCAGGAAAATAGACATTTATTTGCAGCTGCACTTGAACGAAGAAGCTGCAACCATTATATATAGGCCAAAGGGTGTAAATTGAATCCATAGTTCTGAAAACCAAATGATCATCGAGACCATTTAGATGCTCTTGGCAAAACTCAGAAGCAACCTGGACCATCTTTTTAAGTTCAGTTATCAATGAAATACACAAGATGATTAGGTGGCATACGTGATCTGTCTGTCCCAAAACCATGACATACAATTTACAGTGAAATTTGTAAGTCCTTAGCAAGTCTAATCATACCACCATTTAATTTTTAGTTAGATTTTCCAGCAAGGCTTCAAAACTATACTCAACACAAGTGAATGGAGTTTTCTGTATCTACTATTTTATTGGCAAGTCAGTTGTTTCACACTTTACACAGACTGCGGCTCGGGCAGTAAGCTGAGTTAATACTAGAACTTGATTTCTCATTCCTCGTGCTAGAGATGTACAACCATATGATAATTGTCTTATGGGGTCAACCACATTCATTGTATTGAAGCATAGGAGTTTGATTTAATTCCATTTATCTACTTCTACCAGTATATCTACAGATAGTGTACTCAGCTACAAAATTTAAATGGCGTACCAAGGAAGCTTTGACTTTCTACTACAAGGACCCATAAAACCTTCCTTCAACATGGCTTTTAATAAACAAGTGTTAAAAGTTGAAACATTAATTAATCAGATACTCATTAGCCTGATTGGGTGAAATTAGTCCCATCCTGGGTGTCTTTAATTGGCTCTACCAGTCTCTCAATCTTCCTTGGAATATCCATCATCTTGGTATCGAACTTGTTGAGCTCTCCTTAACCGAAAGTTCCTATTTTGATCCACTCCTTTCATTAATACTTTAAGCGTGATTGCTAAAATATATACTTACTCCACCACTTTAAGGCAGATGATCTTAAGATTATTACTGCTTACTCCTGAGTAGCTCATATGAGCACATTCCATTCCACCATAACTACGCTTTAAAATTCAATCCAGCTCTCAAACTATATGATCCTCGCCACCATTCAGCTAATACTGGTAGTTGTCTAACTAAGGACAATTACTAAAAGCAATTATCTCTTGAATCCTAGGTACTCATTGTCATTGACGTTCAAAGCAATTTTATCCTGAATTTTATTCTCTAGTAATTGGAAGTTATTTTCTCAGGTTATGGTATTTGATTACAAAAATAAGGGAATTTGGAGATTCAAATGAAAAGGAATCTATCGTCTTCTACTCATTCTACAAAATCAATTCATTGACAACATAATGTTGTGTTTCTCTCAACAATACCATAACTCATTTAACGATTCCCAATAATGATCAAACATCTGCACTGATGAGGCATTAGTCGCTGCTGCCCAGCTTGCTCACCAGTACATTAGATAATAATAAATCTATTCTTCAATCCTTATTTAGCCACCTAGAATCAACAAATTACAATTGCAGAAGACAGAATATATACCAAATGATTTGCAAAGAACGCCGAATCAAGAAGAAGAAAAAAGTACCATATATGGAGAGAGAATCAGCTTTGATGATCTTCGACGATGGCCTCTCCAGCTCCAATTGCTCCAGCGAGCTGATCGTCGATCGTCTTACTCTTCCCAGCATTCTCTCTCTCCTCTCTCTCTCTCTCCCTCTCTCTCTCTCTACAGATTTGAGAAATTTCCCAAATAAGGAACCCAAATCTACTGGGCGGCAAAAAATGAAGTAAAATTAGCGGGAAGTGAAAAAAAAGACATGGGCTTAAATTCCTTCCTAAAAATATTTGGGCCTATAAAGGACCTAATACCCATTTGAATACGAAAATGTGATTTTGGGCCTAGACAGCCGAAGTGCACAAATAGTCGATTTATGACTCTCATTTAAGGTATAGCCTGTTTATAAGTTTTTGCAAGTTTAGCAACTCTAAAATCAACTTATAAACCTATTAGATTGAATATTTTTATATAAAAAAAAAATATAGATTTGAAGTTAGACTTGTTAAAGAAAAATATCAAATAATTTGTTAACAAGCAAATTCTTCATACAACTGTGTGATATTTGACATGGTGTTCCCATATTTTATTAATTTTTATTTGAAGTTTGACATGACAATCACAAATTTTAAATATTGTAATCTGCAATTTAGCATAACAATTCCTAATTTCATATTCGTATTTGATCTAAAATTTTTAAGTATTAGACGTACAATAGCTTGGGGAGAAAACAAGGTAAAATACATTGGGACTCTTTTGGACTTGGTTATTTTTATTCGCTGAACACCTAGATATTACTTAGTCCTAATTATCCTTATGGACATGAGTGAAATTCGAATACTCTCAACGTCCCCTAAGCAACCACACCTGATGATATGAGACACACGTGTTTTTACATGGAACTTTTTGTGTATGAATATGTTCAATTATATATCTTTTAAAAAAAAACTGTGATCTTTTTGAATTACTTTTTTCTAGCTAAATTCATAAAAATAGGCGGGAATTCATTTTTTTATCTAACTAAAAGTAATGAATGAATATATAGTTGAAATAAATTACACGGCATATAAAGAAGAAATAAAATGAAAAATACAGTTGACACTACTATTTTGGATAACACTTTTAAATTTGGCTAAGAGTAATAAAGCTCTGCAATTTTAAACAATTTTTATTTGAAAAAATACAAAGTTAATTAAAATAAAGAGCCATTGCATTTAAATATAAATAAATAAAGTACAGAATTCAAACAATATTATTTTGGCTAAAAAAACGTTAATTCGATAAAAAATAATAAGATCTAGTCATTTTTAAAATAAAAGAAAGAAATATACAATTGCAAAAAATACTCATTGCACGGAATAAAACATGTCAAATGAAATTTACCATTTAAACTCACTTATATATTGATGGAGTCCAATATTGATCAGCTCCGATCCCTCCTTCGCTAATTAATTAACTTTATGCTTATAAGTAATAACGCAAGCCTTCTCTTTTTATTAGTTCAATCAATTTATTTGACACTTCATTCAAATTTCAAAATAACTGTTCTGAAATTTCGTATTGAGATAGTTCTAAATCCGTTGTACTAATAATTGAAATAGCAATATCTACTGATCATTAATAAGGTCTCAAAATAGCTTCTAATAATTGGACTCAAGTTGAAATACATGACCCCCCACAATTTGGGCATCTAATAATTTTGCACTTTAATCTGTCCCCATTGCACTGCTTTTTATTGTACGAATTATATTACTGTTATTTTAAAAATATCCTGCCTCACAAATATTAGTTAACTTTAATTGTAAAGTATTTTAATCTTAATTGGATGGTTCGATAAGTTGCGGGAATACTGATCTAAATCATTTCAGACTCGTTTGGTTGGTGAGATGGAATAGCTAAAGTACGATATTTTATTTCATATATCTTTTACTATATATGATAGGTTTTTTTCATTATTTATATTAAATAATTTCTAAGAATAAATAATACTCATCATCAGATGCAAAATAAACTAATCTTCATGGGGGTAATATTTCGAGATTATTATCCTTATCTCATGATCGTTTAGTTCGCCAAATGGGATAGACAAGGTCAAGGATATTTCATGAGCAATCCACTATTTTAGTACAAAAGTGGCATAAAATAATAACATAATTAATTAGCTAATACCTCAAATCAAACGACATAGAATAAAGTTAATCCAAAATTATTATCTTTCTCTCTCTAGAAGAGCTAACAAGAGAGTACTTACCCAGAAATTAAAAGGACTAATGATTAATTCTATTTCATACTCTAAATATGTAAAACTTTTTTATATATATATACTATTATAGCAAATGGAAACTTAATTAATAGCTACACTGGACATAAAGGTCTTAATATATATATCGGACATTAATACGAAAAAAAACTAACAATTTTATAACTATGATCGATAACACCTGACTATTTCGATCGTAACAAATTTCATAGGTGAGAAGAGGTAGTAGTAGTAGTAGTGCAAGCAATACAAGCAAGTAAGAGAATAGCAGCAGAAGCACCATCTTCTTCAACATTTGAACTACTCCTCTTGAACTTGTTTGTTTTCCCTTTCTTACATTGCATGATCATATAACTACTATTTTTCACCTCTGTTTGTTGTCTTATCTTCATTGTTGCTTCTACTCTTGACACCATTTGAAAAATAAAAAAAAGTACTTAGATATTTTTTAATACTTCTTAGATATAATGTGAATGAGAATAAATGTTGATGCACTCTCTCTTTATATAGCCTCCACCACACACACATGACTCTCTCAGCTGAATTATTTAATTATGAAGTAAAGTAACATGAATAGAGGTGGATAGAATAGTAAAGATGATTTTTGCCTTGCGAGGCCAAAGTTACATATTTGATTGATCGATTAAAAATAGTTAGATTTGTTTATCGTCATATTATCACATTATTTGTTGGTATTGCTCTTTTTTTTTATAGACGTTACACTACTTTAATTTCCCTATTTACTATTATCCTTTATTCGTTGTTTTCTTTCTATTTTACTTGTGTTTGGTGCATTTGAGCTGAGGGTCTTTAGGAAATAACTTTATGTGTACACCCTACCCTTCGAGACTCTGCTTAGTAGATTTGACTGATCAATATGTTATAGTCATTATTAGTCAAATATACAAAAATATATGTTTACACTATTCTGTATCAACACGGCATATTTTATGTATATTATACATTAACATACAATTACTGGCTATTACTTTGGTGACAGTCAATTAATGTCAATTTATTATTATTATTTTTTGCAAATTGGTGTATAAATAACTTACGAGTTGTCGAATATATAGTAAATAATTTTTTGCAAGGGTACATGTATGTCTTTATTTTAAACCTCTACTTGCTTCCTTTTTTTGCTCCCTCATGATCATCGAACTAATATTCATAAGGTAAAATCGATTATCATTTGAACAATTCTCTCTTATTTTTTTAATCAATTTATAGATGAGATTTGTAATACTAGTAAATAATTACATAAAAATTGTTATGGGTACATATAACTTAGACATATAAATAGTGAGATTACGGCCTTTCCCAAACTCCCATGTGAATAATTCGTACTTTAGTGGTCCCAATAATTTCAAATTTTGAAAATGATTTATTCCGTTAGATGAGTTTACCCGACATGTCTGTCACTTGCCAAATGTTGTAGTATTATTTCCAAGTAAGAAATTTTGTCCACTAATAATAATTATGTTTAAGATCGATGACATAATTTAAATAAGAATTACTTAAAAATATGTTTATATAATTGATTAATCTAACCCTGAGGGGTAGCTCAGCTGGTAAAGGCCTGAGGACAAAGTCCTTCAGGTCGCCAGTTCGAGCTCCAGCAGGGCCACTGGAGGCATTACAAACCGGCCGCGTCTCCAGGGCCCTGTGAAACTAACCGTGGTACACCCGCCTTGAAATAGCGGGACTCGGTGGGTACAGCTAGTCGGGTTCGCAAAGCAACATCCGGAAACCACGGTTAAAAAAAAAAAAAAAAGTATTGATTAATCTCATAAATATAGCTTCAAATAGAAAGTTTATAACCTGTTAAAGAACTTAGAACTAGTCAAATTAGGCCTAAGGTATAATTTTTTGTTTAATGCTTTTACATTAGCCAACAATGAAATTTTTGTCACGATATATTCACATGCTCTTTAAATTATTAGTTTTATGAGTTTTTAAATATGTAAATTACTTTTCAAAAATCTTAAAGATTGTTGTTTGAATTCACAGTCAGAATAAAAAAGTTTAACTGTGATGCTTGAATTTTGAGTTATGTTATATAAATTGAGACAGATCGGAGGGAGTAACATTTACCCTTTCCTTGTCTTTTACCCTAGATGGGAGGAAAAGTTTTACATGTTTATGTTCTATCCAACTTTCAGAGATTTCATAGGAAAAGTATAGATAATGAAACTTTATTTTAGAGCCCACAATTTTCAAAACCTTATATACCACCAAAGCCAGCCTTGCAAAAAACAAAAAAAAGTAGAAAAAGATGGTTGAGAGAAAGGTTAAAGTCTGTGAATATATTATCTATATGCATGGTTATTCATGTGGTCACAACATTAATAATCATTTTACCTGTCTACCTTTTATTTTATATACAAGTATATCATATAATTCAAACCTAACAAGGAGGGAGGAATGGTCCTAAAAGGGATGGTATTTTTTTTTGATCCGTGGTTTTCGGGTTAACTTTCGTGCATTCAACCGGTGGAAACTATTTAAACCTGAGACCTCATGATTCTCAACCAATGCATTAATTTCACGAAAATGTGGGATATACCCATCACCTTCCAACAATAGTAACTAAATAATTTTATCCATCAAAACTAGAACAGATGGTAACTTTGTCTCCGCTGTACTTTAAGCCTGAGACCTCATTATTTTCAATCACTTTATTGACCATTGACACATTAATAAGCTTCGGTCGAGCAATTAGCTGATTTACTTAAGCCATTAATATAATGAGGAAATTGGTTTCTTTTCTTCGAGTAAGCATGTGTGCACATATAACATATTGAAAATTGTTTTTTCGTTTTTCATGTTTCGATGTTCGACATTTGTATTAGAGTTTGATTAATTCAAATTTGTGTTAGAAAAGCCCATCCGAAGGTATCGTTCTCTATCAAGATTTTTTTCATACCAAAAATTTATAATTGAGACTTCTAATCAAAAGAGAAGCAGACTTATCAACTACACCACATCGTGATTTTTGAAAATCCAAGACTACACACAAATTGGCAACTATTTTTGCACATGCCTAATACAATGCGCTGATGGTCTTGTTGCTCATAATGCAGCAATAATTAAATGGCCGTTCACCTAATCAATTACAATTTAAGACTAAACACTACTTTGTTCAAGTACTTAAAATAAACTCATCTTGCATATTTTGGTCATATTTAGCATTGGATACTCCTTGACTATCCAATCATATATAGTTAGGTAGAATCAACTGCATAATAATGTATTTGTCTGATAATTAATTATCTTAGTTAGCAAAATTATAATCAAAGCTTCATATTCTTATTCGTTGGATAATTCATTAATAAGTAGCTAGGGAAACATTATTTTTGTACCATCATATTCCTAAAATAGTGTAGATAAATGATTACTAGTAATACATTATGGAGAACATTTTTGAAATAGTAAAATAATAGACATAATAAGGCTCTAAAGTTATAATTTTGATAATTGTGTTTCATAGCTATAGTTATGTTGCTATGGAGATTGCGGTTTGTATATTTCTACTCATTTGTATATTTTGCTTGCGAATCTACAGATAGAGTAAGTATATACAAATTATGTATTTATACATTTAGAAAATTTTCAGAACTCCATTTATATGTTTCGTTTGCCAATATACAAACAAGATAATTTATTATGATTCTTTTCATAAATTGTACACAAATAGCTATGGTAAGCATATATAAAATTTTAGATTTATATAATTAGAAATCAAATTATACAAATTCTAGATTTATACAAATCAGATGAATTATACAAAAGAAACGAATAGCAAAAATTGAAAAAACTGTAATCACAATTTTAATTTTCTTAAACTATAATTATAATACCTAAATATATAGGCTAAATGTTTGCTATGGTTCATAATTTTCCTTTTTATATTTAGTCAACAAATACTTGAAGTTCGAAATCATGAAATCCCATGTGCAAATCCATGTGAGCATGTTCCAACTGACCCCTAGTTTTGTTTTGCTTTGTCACTCTCATAAGTCTTATATATATCCACATTTTTTCCTTTTTATTTATTTATAAATGGGATGTGAGTAATCAGTTTGCACATAATTCAACTATTTTATTAAATATTTATTATCTCCGGTCAATGTAGATATTGATAGACTTTAATTTGCCTATCAAACTTGAACAAATGGGAGAAAATCACATACATAATAATATTTTTCCCTTCATTAAAAATCAAACCTGAGATTTCATAGTTCACGTCCCGTTAATGCTTCTTGTGTGCAAGAGGTTATCGTTTGTAACAGTATAGCGTTGTGAAAATCAAGTCCCAATTCAAAGTATCGTCTTTTGATAAAAATATCTCCATAGATGGTTCAACGAGAAAGACTTAATTCTATTAACACATAGTGTACGGAGGACGAACTAGCTTCAATTAACATATGGGGTGTCACATGGGTGCTTTCGATTAATTTAGGTGTGTTAAATTAAAATAGATTGAATCAATAAATGAATACGTTATATTTGATGTAAAATTTATAATATTCATATTTAGATGTTTCTGTTATTAAAAAATAGTCATTATCTCAAAAGTTAGAGACTCAAAAATCACAAGAAAAAACTTCTAGAATTTTACATATGAATTTTGAAACTCCATTGATATATAATAGCAACTTTTCAAAGACAAGACCGAAAAGTGAGCCATGAGTGTTATTTCTATAAAAAATATTTAGGGTTAATATTGACTAAACAATGAGTTATACCTATTCCATTGATCTTAAAATCTTCTTTTTTTGTTCATTCATTATTTGTTCTTTTATAGTAATTTGCTTAATTACCAAATCAAACTAACCAATCAAGCTCTAGTTTATTATTTTTCGATAGTTTGATTAGTTGGCACAAGCTTGATCGCCTTCTAAATGACTTTTAATTATGTCACCAATAAGATTACACTTGATATATTGTTGTTGGATGAATATAATTTTGACATCCCTTGTTATACATGCATCATGATTCATGATCAATAATTTAAGTTTAATTAAAAACAGTGAAATGAGTTAATACAAAGATTTTATTTAGGTTAGATCTAATGATAGATTTGAAACACTTAAAACTATCTTTTTTAAAAAAATAATGTAATGTTCAGATCTATGGACAAGATAGGTTCGGAAATATTCCAAAGACAAAGTTCATGGAATTTCGTAACTATACTTGGTGTCATTAATTAAATGGACAAATTAAGGGACTTTGGTTCAAGTGTATGGACCCATTATTCTTAACATGAAAGTTGGGGTCATGGCACAAAGAAAATGGTCTGTTGGCTATTGTCACAACATAAAACCATTTTTTCTCATCCAATTATAAATGTGATGTTGATTTAATTCTGCATAAAAGAATATTTAAATAA